TCCTTCCTCTAGTTATTGCATTTCATTTGTAAATTTAGGTTGTCTTCTTTTTGGTGGACTAAAACGAGTTACATACTACTAATACTAGTTACATCCTCGTTATGTAATTTGGAAAGAAATGAATAGGAAGGTGTTTTGATGTGTTTGATTTGGAAAGAAAGGAATACAAGGGCATTTGATGGGGTGAAAAGGGATATTGTAAAGATTAGGGATAGTTGATTACACTATTTTGGTTCTATTTTTTTGGGACATAACATATATAGATTTGAAGATTTGGGACATGTCATAGATAGTATTACTGAGATGTAAATACGTTTTAAATACGGGTTGCACCTACTTGGTGCATTTTATTTATATATTTTTCATTTTTTCTTTAAAAAAAAAACTAGTTACATCCTCGTTATATTTTCTCAGATGGATTGGCTTGTAGGTTTGTAATAATTTGGTGTTGGGTTTCAATAAGTGAAGTTGGAAATGGTTGGACTATGTTTTATGTTTCATTAAATTATAATTTTCTTTCTACTATGTGAAGCTGATAACTTTCATGAGCACTTTTAGTTTCAAATTGCGTGGCTTGCAAGCAACACCAGGAAATACTGAAAGCATCTTAATCGTAGGTCGAAGACAGTCATAGATTAGCTGAAAATTAAATTAAGCAATGGTGACGCGAGATTGGTTACGTTTAGATATCCAAAATTGATTAGAAATTATAATTCTTTCAAATATTAAATTATTATACTATTTAGAATTACCATTTTTTTAATACTATTTTTAGGAGTTTATTTATTTTTTTTATAAAAGAATAAATTTTAATGGGGATAGATCGAAAAAGAGTTATATAAAAACAGAGAATAAGACATCCTTCTCAAAGTATCGAACAAAGCAAAAGAAAAATGCAAAAAAACGTGAATATCCTATGGGCTGCAGATAATTGCTTCCCAGTTTCGGTGAAGCTCCAAGATGTTTGTGTCGGGATAATGTTCATGTGCTCTAGCCTATAAGGTTGCATTATTATTAAGTAAAAAGCAAAATTGTCAAGATATATTCAACCATTGGAGATGAGCAGAGCCAAAATAAGATTTTTAAGAAAAAAATCTCCACACAAGCCTTAAGCAAAATCCATTTTTTCCATCCATTTCTTAACAGCGTTAAGCTTTTGAAGAACAGTAGATAGTTCAGAGACTTTTTAATGAAAAAGCATTTATGATTAAAATGAAAAATGAGCCCAAATTTAGGGAATAAATTGATAATTTACCCTCCATAATATTATGATTTCCAACCTGTTTAGGTAATCTGTAGCTACTCCATTATGCATCATTCTCTTCTGGTTGGATAAAACTTGTCCATGAGTTTTGAAGTGGCAAATGACGCAAAAGTTTTTATCTTCAAGCTTCACCTTGCAAACTTAACAACCTTTCTGCTTGGTCATTCTCGTCAATGCTGAAAATAATAAAAACATAAATTTTTGAAAAAAATAAAAATAAGAAACACAATATTTTTTAGGAGTGTGAAATCCTTGCAGTATGATGAAATCAACATATTGACCACTTTGCACCTCAACTTTATCCTTGAGCTGAACATCATTAGACTCAATTATTGATTTAGGTTCTTTCTTGTATTGAACTTTCATAGGGTTGTCTTTTGGGAAAATCCTTGAGCAATAGGGACATATGGTGTTCCTTTTTCACCGTAGAAAAAAGAGAGGTACTTGTGCACTAGGAGCTAAATCATCATTCTCATGAGATACATAACCACCATCTCTTTCATGCATCTTCATCTTTTATTTCATTGCAACGTTAGAGTTGTTCTTTTTTGTGCATTCTTAACTCATATGTCCATTTTATTCACATTTAAAGCAAACAAATTCCTTATTCTTAAAGAAAGTCTGGGAAATTGATATTGATCTATTCTTCAGCTCATTTTTTGATTCAAAGCTTTCCTTGGGAGTGGTTTCCATAACCGAAAACTGATCATTTCTTGGAAATGATTATTTCAAAATATTCTTCCACGTCCAGGGCTCTGTTAAGTTTGGGTTGTAGATGTAGTTGTAGTTGTAGGGACTGCCGAATTAACTTTCTTTTAATATCATCTCTTAATCCTGCATTAAATCAAGATGTTGTTTGACTATTATCTTGTACCAACTTACTTCGAATTTTTAGTACTTCAAACCTCTGGATGTATTTAGTTACTAACATGTTGCCTAAATTAAAGTGTAAGCTTGAACACCGTGTTTGTCAAAGTAGTCGTCAGCATGCTGGTTTTTGGGTGTTTCTTTATTTTGTGCCTGTGGTTGATGGTGGTTATAAGGGCTCTTAAGAGAGAACTGACGCATGAGGGAAAATAAATCTAAAATAAATAGTGTATTGCCCTTAGCTTTGCTATTTCTTGATTAACATTCACTTGACTTATCATCAGACTTGTAAGAAACTCTAGAATCCCATGTATTCTAAATGACAGTTCCATATGACTGATTGTTATGCTTATCCCACAGTATTTTTACTATAGTGTTGATTCTGCAGTGTTTAACATTAAACTAAAGTTTGTTACCTGGCATAGCAATTGGGCGACGTTTGCGCTCACTTTACTATTCTCTTTATTTCCGTAATCTATTTTTCAATAGAGAATTTTTCTTTTTCTTCTGAGACTTGTTCAGGAGAGGATCTTGGTTGTTGATGTCTGCCCCAAATGTATTGGTGTAAAATGTATTATATAAGCTGGTGTTTGTTAGGATGGTGATGCAGAATGGCTTAGATTTAGGTTTCTTAAATAGATTAGAAAGTATAATTCTCTTAGATATAAAATGATTGTACTATTTAAGAGTCTATTATTATATTTTTAGTAATTTAAGGTTTTATCTTTTTAATATTTGGTTTTCCTATTTTTATTAGAGTAGTATTTTCTAATTTGTTAGTAAATACCTTTGCATGATGTAGTTCTTGAGAAGCTTCACTTATTCAATGAAGTCTTATTTTCCTTTGACTTAGGAAAGGCTACATGTTCATTTGTTGTACGGGGAGGGGGTGAGAAAGGAAGCTAAAGTTCTAATAGGGATGCATTGTTTGCAGGCTTGTGGATAATGTGGTTAGAGCCCAACCACATCATCTTTGAATACTGATCCCTCCCTTTTCAGTTCCAGTGGAGAGGATGACCTTTTTGGTTCCCCTATGGGTTAAGATCCATTGTCAATTTACTGATATCTCCATTGCTCTGATACATAGAAATTGGAGACAATAATACATTGATTTTTTTCCCTTTTTGGTTTATACTGCTGTAATGTTTTGGTTTTCACGAATTAGTTAGTAGGATATCTTATCCTCTACCATTGTATTTTCTCTCTTCTTGTCCTTAATCATATTTCTTTGTCCTGTAAGAAAAGAATATTTATTATTTTTCTGATATGATTTCATTGAAACCCCTGAACTTGAAATTTTATTGTGGAATTATGTTTCTTTTCTCTGTGTCATAGTTTGTCTTTCTGGTAGCATAATAACCTTTAAAATACTTTTGAATCTGATGTTAGGTAATCACCAAAAGAAAATGTTCATTCAATTGAATGCTTTAAATTGTTAAATAAAAGTATCTTGTATTTTGGAGTTCCTGTTTGTTTCTTCCTCCTCCTCCGAGGATTGATTTTGTTGGTTTTTGCATGAGATCATGCTGCAGTTGTTTCTATTATTACTTTTTACATACTACATCATTTTCCAAGATTTATATTATTATTTTACATGGAAGCACATGTAAGAGCAATATAATTTTTAACAAGATCCCTGAAAGATTGGTTAGATATGCTCAACTTAGAGATAGCAATGGGATGGATTTTGGATGAAGCAAATGTCCACCTATATTAAAATGCCTTATGAAACGATGCATAACTTTCTTGTTTTCAAGTTGAATGCGTAATTTATCTAGCTTCACTAAGTACAAAATTGCCCTTGGCAGAAGGGCTAGCCTAGTTGGCTGGGCAGATTCCTCCATTTAGAGAAGTTCGTTTCTAGTCCCAGCTAGAACAGTTAACATGTGGTTTAATTTTAAATTACTATGGCCAAGAAGGGTATAAAATGGCCGTATGGTTTAGTATTTTCGCTTGCATGCAAAATC